AAGTTGATGATCAGCCTGAAGTATGGCTTGTCTGATTACAAAAGCCAGCCCTTGTTTCTTTGCACTAATACAGCCTAGAAGTGCTTGACATTTGAGGCAAAGGGAAGGCAAGAAAAGCATAACATGCATGCTTTCTTTTTCTGACCTCATCTGAAGAAAACTGAAAACAAACAAACAAAAACCAAAGGAGGTGGAGATTTTATGTATTGCTGTACTGAGCAAAGGGAAATTCAGCAGTCAGACAGATAGCCTTCACAGAGGAGATCCAGCTCAGCTAATGAACTGGAGATTGGTTTCATTTGATTACACTTTATCTTTAGGTACTGTGAGGATGATGAAGACAAATCTGCCAGTCAGTGCACACCTATATGCTGTTTAAATGCACATAGGTCAGCATCATTATGGAACAGTTTGTTCTTAAATATGCCATGGTGCTTAAAGATATGCCATAGTGCACACCACCATCCCTGAGAAAGAACAGCTCCATGTGTATTGACAACATTCCTGAGCCTGGGGTTGCCCTCCTATCTCTACACACAGATGTTAGAACCTTCTTTTATTTCTGTCTCTGGAGTTCTAATTAAGAACATGCCTCACCTCCATACTCCTCATTCCTACTTCTCTCTTCCAAATTCAGCTGACCTGGGAAGTGGACTCAGATTGTCTTAACCACAACTTGATAACATCCTCTAATTCAACACATTCAGCTGACATCAGATTTCCCAAATAGCCTCTTCACCCAATTTGGCCTGTTAAAAATCTTGGTTGAAAACAGTTGGATGTATATATCATCTGAACAGTCATGCCTTTGCTGATTATTTATTTTTCAAAATCTGTCTCTTTTTTTCTATTAATTTGATTTTGTTTGAAAATGTTGAGAGGCTAAGGCAGGAGGATTTCGAGTTTGAGGCCAGCCTGGGCTACATAGTGAAACCCTGTTGGAAAGATAAAAAGAAAAAAAGAAAGAAATGCTGATAAATCCATATAGCCCTGGGACATTTATAGTGAACCTCATAATCCTTAGAAACATAAGTAAGTTTGGGGTTATCATATTGGTTAATATGCCCAATATTTTAAAAGCAATAATTGATTCAAAATTTTTTGCCATAGTCTTATAAAGTATATATTACTTTTCCCCCAGTTTTCAGAAGCTCAGGCTTAGAATGGTCAAGTGATAAGTCCTGTATCAGATAATTGATAGAGCTGACATTCAAATCTAGCAGCATCTCTATAGACAATGTGTTTAACCATTATTCTATACCAGATAGAGTATTACATATTAAATATTCTTATTTCAGGGTGAAGTTAAAGGAAAACAGGATCACTATGGGAAGGTCCTTTGCAGATGGTGAAATCCAAATTCTTCATTGTGAGTGGAGGTGGGTGGGATGAAAGAGGAAACAACTTTCCCAAGTATACAGAATGGGTATAGAAGAGGCTCCTGGTTGCCTGTCCAGCATCCATTCTCCTGTCTTCTGCTTTCTAGGGAATCCTAATTTTGCTCAGGTCTTCATACTTCCCTATGAGATTATGTGTTTCAAGGGAGGCTGTCTCATTATCAGTCCTAAAGGATGAGTTATGGTTGACCAATTCTATCATGGTGATCCCATTCCCTTACTAATGCTTGGTTTAGATCCGGGCAGATAACATAGTTTGGCCATAAAATATGAAGAAATATAGTGGAAGGCCCCTGGAAATCTTTCTTCACTCTTAGGAAAAGCCATAGGTAGATACTTGAAGATATCTAAGAAGCATAAGAAGATGCCTCTAGATGGAGGGAGAGGAAGAATTAGTACTTCTATTATTTACTACTTACTGCAATAGGTTTCTTACTAGATGCACCTACAAATGATCTCTTATTCTCAGAAAAAATGTCAAAGTTGATTTTATCATAGCCATTCACAGGTGAGGAAACTCAGACTCAAGAGCAGTTCTAGTCATTCAGCTATTAATTGATAGAACCAGGATTCAGATCCAGAAATGGATATTTTCAAACTTATCATGCATAGTGTTACTTTCACATTGGAATAAATTTGTCCAGATTTTTGTTAGTAGTTGTGTTAGCTGGTCTCCAAAAGTATGTTCTCTGCATGTTTAGGCATAGTTAGGATCTGAGTCTGCAGAGCCCTGGGTATGAAGAGGCTTGGCTTGGTAGTCAGGTGGTCTCTTCAGCTATCTTTGTGTCATGATCCTCTGAGATAGCAATAGAGTGTGCATTGGTCAGGAAGGTGACAATCATTCAGTAATACTGGCTGGGGGACATGATTGGGAGGCCCTTTTGGTCTACTGCCTTGCTGTCAATTTTGAATCATTTGGAAATTTTGGCTTGAATCAGCCATGCTCACTATAAATGAAACAATACACCAAGTGATACTTTGCACAATTTAAATAATTGATTCATTTGCTTCCTTCTGAATTTACTCAACTGACTGGTTTACTGGGATAAGCCCAAGTTTATCTCTTATAGGAAAAAAAACTCACAAATCTTCTGAATAGAGTTTATTTTATGAAATATTTTTATAACTTGAAAATATTACTGTTATTGTGTCATTTTTGAAAATAAGAATTAAATTTTAAATTTTTAGGTAAAGCTTTTCTGGTTAAAAACCTTTCCAAACCATATATATATACATAGACTATGTAGTCCAGGTTGGCCTTGAACTTGCATTCCTTCTTCCTCAGCCTCCTGAGTGCTGGGATTACAGCTGTGTGCCACCACACCTCTTCCAACTCATTTTATATGCCTTTTTTGTCATGGCTCCTAGGAATATCATAGGTAAACTTAAAGGTCAAGGACTTCACTGGCTTATCTCAGCTTCCTTTAATCTTTATCTATCTATCTATCTAATCTATCATCTATTGTCTATCTACCATCTTCCTTTAATAGTTTCTCAGGGCTGCTGTAAAAATTACCACAAACAGGATGGCTTAAAACAACAGTCGCATAGTTTAGGAGGTCAAAGCCTGAAATCCAGATTTTAGCAGGGTTGCTTCCTTCTGGGTGCTCTGAGGGAGAATCCATTTCTTGCTTCTCTACTAGCTTCTTGTGGTTGCTGGCAATCCTTAGCATTCCTTGGCTTGTAGCTGAATATTCCAGTCTCTTCTTTTTTGTCCTATGGTCTTGTTCACATGGTGTTCTCATAAGGATACCAGTCATTTGACTTAAGGCCCATCTGAATTCAGTATGGCCTCATCTTAATCAATTACCTTTTCAAAGACTCCATTTCCAAATAAGATCATATTATCAAGTTCTGAGTAGATGTGATTTTTTTAGGGAACACTATTCAGTCCAGTATACTGTTAATCTCTCTCCTGCTTTATGTTCTTACCTTCTGCTCCTTGATGTCTATGTGTTTTAAAATGTTAAAATTTATATTATGGCCAAGTCTATGAAATAGCATGAGATGTATGAGATCACAAAGGGAGACATGACTGGTCAGTTTCTATCAGGATCTGAAAAAGGAGACGTGAGCCAGGAGTTTATAATACAAAGGCATTAGCTGAGGAAATGTCAGGGGAAGAGTATAGGGTGGGGGACGCAACAGCATGTGTAGGGACCCCAAAGCAGGGGAAGCCACTGGTATACCTTCATCTAAAAAGCTTATTGTGGTGTAGCTGTGTGCCACAGAAAGTGGCAGAGAAGAAAGTGGCATGAGAAGTGGGCAGGGGCTGGCCTCACATGTCACTGTAGGCCATATCAGCATTTCAGATTTTGAACTAATGAACATGGCTGGTCACCGTGGACTTCTAGCAGAAGAGTGAGCTGCCATGTGAAGCACATGTTAGATGAGGGCAGGGGTACAAGACCATGTAGGACTATTGTAGTTGTCCAGGTGAGGGATGACAGCTGGGATTAGAGTAATGACAATGGGGATGACAATAAATAACATATTTGAGACATATCTCTTATTATGTTGGTGGATGCAAAAGGTGAACAGGGGAGACATTAAGGATTCCTGCCAGTTTCTAGAATGGGTAACTAGATGCACACAAGTATCATTGCCAAGATATGAAGCATGGGGGGAAAGCATATCTAGGAGAGAAGATCAAAGGTTCAGTTTTTGACAAGTGAACCTGAAGATGCCTGAAGGATATTCAAGAGGAGATATACGTCAAATAGGAAGGTGGGTATGTGCTCTGGAATTGAGCTGAGAAGGGGCAGGGTTGAAATAAATATTTGGGAATTCTTGTTAAATAGAGACTATTTGGAATCATTATTGACTTTAGATGTGCTTTTTTTTTTTTTCTTGTAACTGTAACATCAGGATGACCTTGTACTTGTTAATTTGGCTCTTCTTTTAAAATATTTGGGCCTGTGGCTCTGGTTACACTTTTAAGTCTCCTATTTTAATAATCAAATTCTGTTTTACTTTGTAGGCTTACTTTTAATTACATTGTAATGATATAGTATTTCAATAGAAAAAAATAGATTTTGACAATATGCCTTAGGCAAATCACTTATTATCTCATAAAAGAAGGGAATTGGTGGTTTTCAGATATGAAAAAATCTACGGTTCTGTAATCTAACAGTTATTGTTTAAGGTATGTCGAGTTTTTAAACCCACAAATCACCAGATAGTCACCATTGGGAAGTTAGCAAAAGTTTCATTCGATTTTAAGGGATATTGTGAAATTCATATCATGACCAGCAATTAACAGTTAAGCCAAACACTGTTATGTTCAGTTCCAGCTATTATTGCTGTCATTTAGAACAGTACTTCTTTTGCACTTGTGGACCAGGGTTTGGGGAAAAGTAGAAACTGAAACTTTTACCTATCAAAATAGCGTCACATTTAAGCCTAAGATAAACATGTTTCACTGGAAATTCATACAGGAATGGGCACATTTTAAGCAAATTTAGAAGTAATCCAAATACCATGGAGAGATCTAATAAATTAAATTACTTGAGTTATTGATCATGAGGCACAGTAACAGCATTCCTTATATTCTTCAAGATAAAACTACATGAAGTGTCAACATCATCATTAGTCTTTCCATACCTCAGTGACAGCGAAACTTCTCTTGCCACAGGGAACCACCTTGTACCACTTGTCATGCAGCACATCCATAAACCCATGGGACTTGTATTGACTGATTAGCTCAGATATGTTGGACGTCAGTGGAGAGTTGGGTGGGAGACCAATGCCATATCCTAGAAGAAAATTTAATCCCATGTGAGTTTTTCACACCATTCCTGAGAGATAGCCACTATACTCATGTAATATTGCCATTAGATCTGGTAACAAGGGCAAGATGACTTTGCACTATTTAAAGGACTCAAACCTGTTCTTAGATATGATTACCCTTAGATCAACTGCATTGCTGAGTAGATGAGTCTGAAGAGGAGAGAGATGAACTATGTATAGTGTACTTCTGGAACATTTTAAGATAATCTGTCCTTCTCTTCAAGATCTTTCTTAGAAGCAATCTTTGAGGTCTTTAGCAAGGCTAGAATTTCTTATCTGCCTCTTCCAGAACCTATCCTATGGGTTTTAAGTACACAAATTTGGGTTAGTCATAATCTTTGGTTTATCTTATCATTCTTAATGCATGATACTTACTTTTTGATTTATTTTTAATAATGTAATAAGACCATGTGAACATATAATATAGCATGAAAAGTAAAATATATATAAGGACTTGTAACAACTAACTTCAATTGTCAAAAAAGTGATAATACCAAATGTTGGAGAAGACATGGATTAATAGAACAAATCTACATTACCTGTTGAATGCAAAGTGATATAGCTGCTTTGGAAAAAAATTGGCATTATTTTGCACATTGAGCATTTATATAAAGACCACTAGTTCTGCTCCTAAATACAATTCCAAAGAACTACTCCACACTCACACCAGGAAATATGGTCAAGAATGTTGGTAGAGGTACAGTTCATAATAGCAAAAATTGCAGACAACACAAATGTTCATTGACAAGGGAATAGGTAAATTGTGGAATACTTACATAATTGGAATGTTATATGATGTAAATGTATGAATTAGAACTAAATGCAATGATATGGGGGACTCTTAGCAATATACTATTGAATGAAAAGCATCAGTTCCAAAGGATACCTGTGGCACGAATGCATTGGGCAAATGTAAAAACATTCAAAACAATGTATTTTTAGGAATACATATGTACATAATGAAACTGTATTTAGATAAAATCAAGGAGATGAAAAATTAAAGATACAGGATTTTAGCTATGTAGGGCACAACAATCAGAGGAAGGGATGGAGAAAGAGAACAAAGATGGATATAATTGTTGTCAGAGTTTTATTAGTCAGCATCAACAGCATTTTCACACTGTGTGTCTTCACTCACTTCCCACATTGTTAATGTATCTTTGATGAGGCATGTGAAAGAGGCTAATTAGCTACATCTTGGCTTTAGCTATTGGACTTCACAGTCAAAACGATTTTTCTTTTGTCCTCAAGATGATTGAGGAAGATAAATTAAAAATGCGTGAGTACCTTTTTCACAGACAAAGACTAAAAGGCTGTCAAGGATCCAAAGATAGTTAATGGAAACAAATACCTGTGATAATTATTCTGTCTTACAATTCAATTTCAAAGATGTTAGCTTGTTCTTTTTTAAATGCAGACACACAAATCCCTTTTTAAAAAAATATGAGGCTTCAGATGTGTATATAATGAATAAAAAAGAACAGATATGAATAATACCAAACAACTTTTGAGTTTTAGAGTTGTATGATTTTTTTCCTGATAATTTTGTTTCTTAACAATGCAGAGTCAAGGTAATGATGACAATGTCAAAAACTTGATCAGAATTTTCCATTTAAAGAGTGATTTTTGAGGCCTGTTTTTTGCTTAGAAGTTTTCGCTTGAAAGTCAAGACTGATAAGAAAAGAATTTGATGAGCAGATTTTTCTTCTGCTGATGTTATCATTAAGTGACATTTTTAAATAATGGGTAACTTTTTACAAGGAAGTTACCAGTTTTCTTTAGAAACTTATAATGAGTGTGATTACCAATTCAGTTGCACAAATATTTAGTTAGTACTTATTAACATGTCAGGCACAATACTAGGCACATGTATAATAATGTTCAATGATTTCCTGACTCACACATTCATTCATTCACTCACTCATTCATCCATCCAACAAGTATTTCATTGAGTAAATAGGCATGGTGCTTAAGTCGTTAGTATTTAGCATTGAGAAAGGTAGATATGGTCTCTGTTGTCTTGGACTATACACTCTACCAGGGAGACATATTATACAAGTGCACTGCAGAATGATTACCTTCATCAAAGTTGAGATAGGTGACATGAGGGAGAGAAGCTGGGGCATGAAAGAACTTAGTGTAGGAGGACTTGGAATTATCTGGTGGGAGTGGATTGATCAACAGGATGATTAATTTGGGCCAGGTTTGCTGAATATTAATGTGTTTCTTCCCTATAGCAATAGTTTTTGTCAAGGGCAGTATTTTCTAATATGTATTGCGGACTTACTGTACTCCAAGAACTGCTCTCAAACAAACATTTTTCATACTTTATCCCATTTTGTAAATCACACACTGCTAGACCAAGATTGTGTGGTAGATTGTAGCACACAGTTTGGTTACTCTGGAATGCTAACAAAAATTAGGACATTCTGAGTCAAACTTTGTGCTAGACACTATTGCATGTTTCCCTCCATGGACCCATGCAAGAGTATGTATTAAAGAGACTTGGAGATAGAAGAAGTAAACTGACAATGTCACACAGGTAGTAGCTGGCAAAACCTATACTTGAAGGTGTGTTTGATTCTAAAATCAATGCTTTTTCCACCATATCCATTACAACAAGTCAAGGGAATGCATGACTTACTTCCTCCCTTCAGTATGGGCCAGATTTCTGTAGCTATATTGATGTAATTGCTCCAAATCAGGTAACTCATTAAAAAGTCACAATCATTAAAACTTGTGGTTTGTTTTCAGCAGACAAAGATAAGTTGTTCATAGGCAGATTTTGTTTATAAGCTTTTCAATAAGTGGTGTAGAGTCTGTAAGAACAGCCCTAATTTATATGATTATATATGCCGGGAAAGTTACTACAAGGTCTTTCACTAATGATATAATTTTTCCTAAAACTCCTGCTAAAGCTTCTAATCTCAAACCCACATAGATGGAATAATGGAAGAACAGTTTCCATTTTTCATCTGATGAGCATTATTACATATCTATTTGTTTACTCACTAGTTCCACAAATGTGTTTCATGCTTATTCTGTGCCAGGCACTCTGTCAAGTGCTATGGAGTTTACTAAGCTATAATAGACATAAAGCCTATCCATAAGGAGCTTATGGTGGCATGTGGAGATATGGCATACACCAATAACTGCACAACACAGTAGAAAGTTGTATGACTTTTCCTGGAGAAAAAGATGGGTGAGCCACCAATCCAATAGAGGTGACATATAACAACTAAGACACAATGAGGAAGACAGAAAACATTCTATGGTGGTTCAGAGGAAAGAGAGATTATTACCAAATGAAAGAAAATGAGAGGCTTCTTAGATCAGTTCTTTTTGTTGTTAGTGTCTTTGAACTCTGGGCCTAGCCCTTGCTGGGTAGATGTTCTACCACTTGAACCACACCCACTGCCTTTTTTTTTTTTTCCTTTAGTTCTTTTTTCAGGTAAGATGTTCTGTTTTTTGCCTGGGGCCAGTCTGAGACTGATTCTTCTTCCTACAGCCTCACACATAGCTGTGACCATAGTACCACTACACCTGGCTTGTTGACTGACATGGAGTCTTGCTAATTTTTACCTGGTTAGCCTTGAACCTAGCATCAAGGATTACAGGCATGAACCATTGTGCACAGCCATTGGATTAATTCTTGATAGTGACATTTTTTGGTAGACGAAACAAAAATACATGACAAAATTTAAAAGTTTGAAATTAACTCATGATAAATCTACATATTATAAGAATAGAATTTTTGTACTACAGCAAAAGTATTAAAATTCTTAAGGAAAAAGCTATGTTGAAGTTACAGAGACATTTATAAAAAGTTGCTACACACGAAATAATAAATATTAAATTACTGTACTCCATCATGCCTAGGTTAATTTGCAATTGACTGCTAAAAATTAGATTACTATTCTTTCTAATTTTCCATTTTAACACATATATTAAATATTGACAATAATTTTTAACATTAATAGTAATAATTATTGTTAGCTAAATTAAGTAAGTATGCATGTATAATGAGGGGAGAAATAAAAAAAAATTTGTTCAAAGACATGAAAATTCATTTCATTCAGAAACAAAATGGTAAAACCTTGAAGGTTTTATTTCCATCCTTCTATCAGTTGCTTTTCAAATTTGCTTGTGTTCATTGGTCAAAGAATTTAAATTGCTGACTCAACTTAGTCTGAGTTGCTTTCATTATCATTAGAAATGTGGCTTTGCAATAAAGACAGGGTTGACTATTTCGTGGTTGACGGATGAAGCAAAATGGAATCCTTCAACCCTAAAGATGAAGGTGTCAGGCACCCTGGAAATTGGATACAGCTTAATAGCCCAAGAGAACAATTTTCAGAATAGAATCCTGATCTTTTCCCCATGGATAAATCAGCTTTACTCAGCTATGAGTAGTGGAAATATATTTTGGCTAGCAAACGTACAGTTAGAAATCATAGACTAAAAGAGTTTTCCTGAAATGTGGCTGGAAAATAGACATTTTGAAAATAAGATCTCAGGTGGGGTTAAAAAGTCTTCAGGTAGAAAGACTCATTCGGTTTTACAGTGTGTCCTTGAAATACCATAGCTAGCTATTCTGAGACAGTGATTGAGAGCATTTTTACTATTCCTAATTGCAAAGGGCTCTTTAAAAATGTGTTCCCCTTTCCCTCAGGCAATGAGATTGTGGAGAGAAGTGTCTGGGAGAAGCTGATATCTATGAAGGCTATCCTGGAAGAATTTTGTAGTTCATAGTCCTCAATTTGTTAATTTAATATACTGAATAGAAATAATTTATTGAGGAGGGCCTAAGAACTTTACATGTGTTATTTTACTTAATCCCCACAACAATTGTATCATACATGTATAATTCATGTCCTTATTATGCAGATGAAGAACCAAATGGGAAGAGCAGATGAAGATATTTGCCAGTTAGTGACAGCAATTGTATGCTAATCCAAGCCCCCAGCTTCCAGGGCTAGTGCTCCAGTCACTGTATTAAATAATTATTGGAAAGTAAGTAAAAGAACAAGCTCAAAAATAGGCAAAGGTCTTTGGCGAAATGGTCACAAGTCATTATTGTGCAGTTACATTAGTCTTTCTGTTTGTTTGACCTTTATTGTCAGGTAACTTCAGTGCATAAATTTGGGACTTATATTCATTTATTTCAACACTTTTTTTTCCCCACAAGCACAATATGTCTTTGTGCTCCTGGTGGATGGCGTTTAATTTGACTAAAGACTTTCAAAATGCTCTTGAATTGTTAATAGTTTTGATCTGTACTCTTTAGTAACAAAAGAGGACTTATGAAAGGGTTTCAAACTCAATGTGGCATGACTGTCTCTCACTGACCTTATTTTTACTTTTTAATTCTAAATAAATGCACAAGCGTAAATTTGGGAGTGTGTTTAGTAGTTATCTTAGTCTGTTTGGGCTGCTATAACAAAAAATCCAAAGGCAGGGTAGCTTATAAACAATACATATTTGTTTCCTCACAGTCCTGGGGAAGTCTTGGGAGGTTCAAGATCAAGACATCAGCCACTTCAGTGTCTAGGGAAGACCTGCTTTCTGGTCATAGATGGCTTGTAGCTGTGCCCTCACATGGTAGAAAGGGTGGGTGAACTTCCATAGGCCTATTTTATAAGAGCACAAATCCCATTTTATAAAGATGGAGCTCTCATGATCTAATTATCTCCCCAAAGGCCCCACTTTGGTTTCAATATGAGAATTTTGGGTGGATGCAAATATTCAGCCAATAGCAGTAGTCACACAGAATAAGTGTGATATCATTACTATATAAAGTGAGTGGTACATTCAGCATGAAGTAGACTTTGTTTTCCCTCCAGTCTAAATTCCTGAAATACTTTAAACACAGAAAGTATGTGTAAGTTGTCAGGATGTATTTGCACTTACATTTGTAAGTGAATTATGTACTTATTTCAAATTTAAACTCAGTTATCTAATTGGTAATAAATACATCATTTGTTGCACAATTGTTACATGCCTAGCATTGTCCTAGACCCTGTGAAGGGATGTAGATAGGCACATGTAATGTTCCTGTAAGCTAAACAGGCCAGAAAGTTCTTCAATGATTTTTTTTAATACCTATTCAGTCTACTTTGATAATAAAGCTTATATTTTAATAAGTTAAAAAAACCTGAATGTTATTAATGAAAGCATATATTTTTTAAAGTTTCATAAAAATAAAAGAAAAACTCGAAATATTTTCCTAAAACACCCTTGAGATTAACATTAAAAACATCACATACTAGAAGAACATGTACTAGTCTTTTTGTGTTTGTGGTGCTGAGGATTGAACTCTGGGCCTTATACACACATGCTATGCAGGTGATCTACCGCTGAGCGATGTCACCAAGTCGTTTACTAATAATTATCAGACTTTTTTTTTTCCTGTTGTGCATAATTTATAACTATCCTCCCTTTGTGTTTTTTACAGTTCTGTATAGTACTTTGGCTATTAAATGTTCTCTCAAAGCCCATGCATTAAAGGCTTTGTCTCCAATGCAGAATTATTCATAGGTGAGGCACTGGGAGGTGGTTGAATCTTTAGGGCTTCTATCTCATGAATGGATTAATCCATTTATGAATTCATATCTTAATGGGCTATTGGGTGGTGGTGGAAACTTTAGGAGGTGGGGCTAATTGAAGGAAGTAGGTCATTGGGTGCATGCCCTTGTAATCTGCCCCTTCTTCTCTTGCTCTCTGCTTCCTGGCCACCATTTATGAAGTGAGCAGCTTTTCTCTACCATGTGCTCTTTGCCATGATGTTCCCTTTCAACACAGACTCAGAAGCGGCAAAGCCAAGTGACCATGGACTGAAATTCTGAAACTGGGCCAGAGTAAACATTCCTTCTTTAAAAAGTGTTTATCTCAGGTATTTTATCACAATGATGGAAAGCTAACTCATTCTGTGAACTTGTCGGTGGGGGCAGTATTGAGTAAAATTGTCTGATTTGCACCCCCTCTGTTCTGAGACTACATCAATAGTGATGATAATGCTTTATCCTTTAAATCTTCAGACTTTCTGCTTTCTTGTAGGGAGAGTTCTTCCATGTGCCATTTTTGAGTTTATTCTCTTTGAGAACAATGTAGTGTCTAGAGATGTTAGGAAGTGCAAAACACTAAGTCTCAGAAGCACAGATGGAAATGTAAACAGGAAACCAGTGGGGAGTTAATTGTGTGGCATCTGGCACTGGGGTCCAGCAGAGGCAAACAAGTCATCTTACCACTGTCTTTTGACAAGATAGGGTTACCCCCTGAAGACAAAGGTGGAAAATGGACTGGACCCCCTCATTCTCATGCCCTCTACAGATGATTCATTGTTAGTAGCTACTAATGGTAGGAGAGACCTCAATTACCCTGTACATTTAAGACAGAAATAAAATGTCACTTCCTTTCCATATCTCCAGATGCCATAAAAATAGGAATTTTTCCATTATATACTGAAAGTATACTGAGCATACACTGAATATTCTTTTGTTTTTCTAGCTTCTCTCTCTCTCTCATTCTTTCTTCTTCTTTTTAGTGCTTTTGCTGCCTTAGATTGTAGTCTTAACACAAAACTACTATTACCCCTATTACTATATCTCTTCCTGAGTTCCATTCTTGGTTCAGGTGGGGGTCATTTTGATTAGAGAGGAGACTGATTTCTCCTAAGAGAAGTCTCTAAGAAACAGCATCAGCTGTTCCACTCTCATTTATCACAACAAACAAAGCTGAAGCAAAAAAATCTGTTGATGTATTTAGGGGAGACAGAGATGAACTATGGCTGGGAAAACGGAATCAGAATAGTCTTGATACTCTAGTAAATGTACAGTAAGACAGATTTCTGGAAATAGGACTTGGGCACTCCCGTGAGATTGTTTCAAGTCAAAGTGTTTTGTGACAAGTGAGTATGGCTGTCTTGAGAGCTAACATGTACTGTCAGGGAGGGGAAGCTGGGAATTAGGAGCTGTGAAATTAGCTGGTTCAAACTATAAGTTTTAAATATCAACTGTCATTCAGAAGGAGAGAAGGTACTGACAAAGCAATCTGTCTTTGGTCCTGAAGTTTGATTGATGGGTTGATCTAGCTGGAAGCAAAAATTGCTGCCAATGGGAAAAGGTAAACCTGGGGTCCCAAACAAAGTTTTGTTTAGGATCCTAATGGATACTAAATCTTAGGATGAAGTGTTTTTTCTTACTTACTTTGTAACTAATGGAAAACATTTATTGAGGAACCATGAAATTTGGATTTTAATCCCAGTATTGTCATCTAATTGTATGGTTATGAAAATGTGATATAATGTTCATACACTTTCTTGTGTATAAAATGAATAGATTGGCTTAGATCAGAATTGGGGCTCTTCTAGTCATAAAATGTAATTTTTCTAGTTTTTATATCAGATTCATTTTGGCCATTCAAAAATAGATTAGGGGCTGGGGATGTAGCACAGTGATAGAGATTTTGCCTAGCATGTGTAAAGTCCACATTTAATCCCCAGCACTGCAACAAAACAAAAGCAAAACAAAAATACAAATACAGATTAAATTAAAATTGGACCCTCATGGCCACCATTTCCAGACATCTGAGTCAACATCATTTGGGAAACTATTTTTTGTCCTAACAATTGCATAAATAAATGTTTGTTGAGTTGGTGAAAAATAAATTCCTAACTTCAGCAACTTAATAGCTAAGTGCTTATGAGTTGGAAATGAAAACAAGGGAAGATGAATCACTTTTTGCTTCTGACTTTGGCATTTGCGACTTGCTAGGTTAGCAGACTGAGCACATCCTGAACAAAAGTGAATCAAGAGTGACTGATTAATACCTTCTATGGCAAATGGCTTCCCCACGGTTAGAAGCTTGCAGTCAGCATCTATCGACACTTCATAATCCAGAAGGGCTTTGTCCATGATGAAAGCGTCTAGTTTCTCTGGATCATTCCTATATTTAAGAAAGGAAATGAAAATGATTCATTAATGGGCAGGAGGCTCTAAGCCCAACAGTTGGCTTTTGTTTAGGGGACAGAAACCTAAATATTAAGGGCAGCACAGCTTGCTAGCTGATGACTCAGCTTTGTGGGCATCTCATTGACCAGTATAGAGCAGGAGAAAAAGACATATTTATAAGAAAGCATTAAGTCTTTCCCATGGGTTTATCTACCAGTCTCTTTCATAAAGTCTAAATCCAACATCAAAACCAGAGTGACTCTGAATTGAATAGAAAGGTGCATAGGAAAGGCTACTTCTTTTTTTATATCATCAGAGTGACTTTATTTTTAGTATTCTTTATGTTAGGTATTGTATTCACTGTCCTCAACTTTAGTTCAGGAAATAGATTCTCAGAGAATTGAAGTAACTTGATCACAGTTACATAGGTAGTTAAGTGCTGGAGCCAGGTGGTCTCATCAATCAGGTATTGAAAATTTTATTTCTTTTTGTCATGATCGCAGTCCTAGTCTTCAGAGATAAGGTATTATTTCATATTTAGGAGTAGATATTAAGGAAATACTTAGAAGAGATTAGCACTCTTGGGGAAAAGGAAGTTAGGGTTTCTTTAAGTCCTTGGGTTAGCATTCAATAAATGGAAGAGGAAGCTTATGTAAAGGATTTTAATGACCTAATTTATTAATATATTGACAGAGATTCACATTTTCCTCTCATCCCAGTAGATGATCCAGGCAAAAATAATTTAATGTGGGTGTCCCAGGGCTGTAGTAGTGAATTGACAATGGACTCAAGTTGTCATCAGCTGCTTTTTTTTCATTAGTGCATATTAATTACACAGAATTAATGGGTTTCATTGTGATATTTTCATTCATGCATATAACACACTTAGATAATATCCACCCTCCTATTATCTTCTCTTACTCTCCCTTCCCAGTCTTCTTTCTCTTCTCTAATAGTGTTCCATCTACTAAGAGTCTTTTATATGTTCAGAGTTGTCCAAAAGCTTTGTAAAGAAAACAACTCTTCTCTGTTCCATCTGGCCTCAGTCCTTTCTTTCTTAAAAACCAGGACCGAGGTTGTTTAAATTCAACACAGAGAAGTGGCCTCTAAACTCAGAAGAGAATTTGGCTTATTAAAACTTTAGAAGCGAAAGGCATCTCTAGATACCTGTAAGATTCATCAGTGGGCAGGAAGCACACTTTCACATGAACGACCTTATCTGGACCACACGTGTACAATAGTAAGTAGGTTAACATCTCTTTTCGGTGTCATTACAATTGCTTCCTTTTCCCATGCTTGCAGGAAGTGAAATAAAAAATTCAAAACACAACCCCTTTTCCAGAGTTATTGAATTTAAGTTACAATAATGCATATGTTTAACCAAAATGAAAGTAACTCCCAGATGCATAGCAGAAGGAAACTTTAAAAAATGGGTGGGATATGTGTGAATTATCTCCTGGGAATTGATACAGAAGCAAGAACCTTAATTGAATTTTTACAATGAGGTAAGAATCCAGCCAAAAGATATTTCTCCAATCAGTTTGATTGCCACAGTAGCAGAATGTACCTTGTGAGAGCCACACAGCAACAAATTACTATTTGCCGATATTTCATGAATATTTGTGGTAGCAATAGGGAAATAAAAATATTTGAAGTTGACTCAGTTTTTTTGAACCAGTAATTTTTGCAGCTTAGTGTCACTGGTATCCTTAAGTAACTACTCTTAATTTTGAGCTGCAAAGTGCAGTTAGCTATGATGTATTTCTATTGCACAGGAAGGCAAGAAGCAACAAGCTCACAGACTCCCATGGGACCCTGAGTCACTGGGGTGGAAGTGGCGGGGTGTGATCCAGGCATGAATAGTTCTAGACTGACTTAATCAGTTATAGTTGGCAGGACCTCTAGCTCTTTCTCCTATTGTAGAATCATGTTCTATTTTTTGAGCATTCATTTAAAAAATATTCACACATCACAAAATGTTATATACTAACATACTAAAAATGAACATGTTAATAGGGATTAATTTATTATAAAACTCTCATGTTAGAAAGCAGGGTCCTGAGATAGTAGGACAAGACCTAGGGGAATTTTGATGGGAGAGGGCAAGGACAGGTTTATACACAGCTACCCATCTTATACAGAAGACTTTGGGTGTTGTGCCCTGAAGATCATAGCTCTGGGATGCTGGGGTGTGTGTGTGGGGTAACATGAAGACTGTGGTTACTTAGAATTGTGCCTATGAGCAGCAGTGGTGATTAGGTCAAAGGTGGAGACAGAAGGCTCAAAGAGAAAAAGTGAGAAGACATTAATGATAAGATCTGTCTATATTCCTATTTCATATCAATCAGTGAATTGTCTGGGGAACTTGTTAAAAATTCAGATTCTGATGTAGTAGTTTTGGGCTGGGGCCTGAAATTTTACATTTCTAAATGCCAGATACCACTTGGAACATGGATGCTGCTGGAACATGGACTTTTCTTTGAACTTTCAGGTCCTACTCTTCCATTATGGTTTCCAAATCAGTCTGAAAAAGTGGCTGGAGATCAGAGATCTAGTTATAATCTTGACTGTGCCACTTGTCAGCTGTATTACCATGGAACAATTACTTCTTCCAGGACTTCTTTATCTGTGCTTGCTTTTCTAATGACTGCTTCTTTCCAGGCTAGGGTAGAGTCAACACTGATCATGAGATGAGAACCTTCTGAGGTGAAGCCATTGGAATAAATGAATGCCCTGATGCCATTAGGCAGAAGAGAGAGGACAGCTCACTCTCAGGCAGTGGTGCTTGTCGGGAGCCATTCATTCCCTTCTTTCAGGCAGACTAGACAAGCAGACCCGTAACTGCACCAACCTCCTTTGCATTCAGCTTCACTGAATTAAAGGCTCTGATGGTCTGTCATGGCAGTGTGATTACCTTTGATTGCTTCTCATAAATTCTGACGAGAAGGGTGCAGACATGGAAATCACTGCCTTTTATATTTCTTTTCTACAGGAAATCTCTAAGATAAATTCCATTTCCTTGAGTCAAAAGGAGGCATTCCATGTGCTTAGAGATTCACTGTGAAGGAAAGGGTTGCTTTGGGACACTTTATTCTCTGGCCACATTCCCTGTGTGTTTGATCATTTCAGCACCATTGTTTTCTCAAGTGATGTCAAGCCATCATTTGCCTGTCCCACCATCTGTTCCACTAATGATCCTACTGGCCATTTGAGCAAAACTACTGCCAATTTGAGACTATGAGGTAACTAGTAATCTAGGTTGCTTAAATTAAATGAACGCCATTCCACACTGCCACTTGCATCACACAGGTATGAGGTATCCCTAAACCCACAGTGGGAATATTTGTTATTAAGAAAATGAACAAAATTGTCAGTTGCTAAATGTCTTTCTTTTAGTGAGAACTTTTAGTATTCAAGAGGTTGACACTCACTTCAGATACTGTACTCCATCTGGAGTGGCTGGTACATTGTACCTTCTCATATACTCATGCATCTCTGGGAAGCTTTGCCTTACATAATCTTCAGCACTGCTTTCCCGGACAGTTCCAAAGCGGAAGCCTTGGGAAGGATGATGCAGCTATGAGGGAGAAAAAGAAATTGTTTTAATATATATTGCTCTCAACATTATTTAATATTTTTCTTTTTGCATCATTCTTTGGAGCCTAGTGATAATTTGGAACTTTTCAAACATCCAGAGGCATCAGCATGTACCTAAACATCTGCAGATATAAGACATGTTCTTCACATCCCAGTTTTCACATTACTAGTTGTTCTATCTTCAGAAGCAAACAGAGGGGAACAAACCAAAAATACAAAACAAATTATTTTGATTTATACTAAGAACATAGTAGAGTTGGCATGTATAATCAGCATCATATTATAAATTGCATACTAAAATATATAATTACCATCTTTCTTTGTTAGAACTACACAAAGGGCAAATTAAAACTTTTCACCCTGAGATTACAATATACCTGACCCTATGTTGTGAATATATCCCTTTTATGTTTACCAATCTTAATGCTATATTACATATTAAGTGTGTTGAATTTATTTTTTGTAGATTTATGAAATAGTCTCTTTCCTTTAAGTATCTGAATTATTCTGTAATGAGTCATGCTGTATATTTTTCAAAAGGAATGGTGTGTCAGACGTCGAGGTGCAATGGAGAGAAGGGCTAGCAGGAGTAGCCCTTCAGGACTACTCAGTCCTTCAAGACTCAGGAATGTAATAGGTCTCCAGGATGCAAGCCTTCACAGTGAGGAGAGGCGGGGCACTGGCATTCCTGCTGAGGCTTCCCATCACTAGGGTTAGTAAAGATACACCATCTGAAATATTATTCAATGAAAGTTGCAAAGAAGCATTAATATGGAATCTAAAACTCAGACTTTTTCAAGTGTAAGAATGAACTTGGATTGGGCCATATTATGAAAACATAAAATATTCTACAGTCAGCAATGTATTAGAGATTATATAGTAATCATTAAGAAGATTGTTACAGTCAAGTCTTTGCACTTCTTCTTTCTGCTTCATATTGACATACTTTATATCATTGGTTCTCACATGAAGTCCCAAGGAAAAGGGTCTACGGTTGGATTTTATGGAGTTTATAAGCCTCTTGAAATTTTAGGCAACATTTTATGTAAATATGTGTTTGTAATTTTCTTCAATGGAAGGAGAAAATACAGAGTTCTTAAATAAATATATTTTCCTTTTAAAATTTCCTTTATTCATATGTGCATACAATGATTGGGTCATTACTCCCCCCTTCCCCCTCTCCTGTCCCTTTCCCCCCATCGCCTCCCTCATACCCCCACCCCTTCATAAATAGATTTTCATGATGTTAACCTCCAAAAATCTAAAAACTCAATGAATATGGTAACAAATGCCATGTATTTGAAGATGCATTAATTTTGACCCACACTGAAAGTCTAATAACATGAAAACAGTTAAATGAACTGCAGGACACATTCTTATGGAATGTCATGCAATATATAAATCATGTTCGGAAAATATACTTAAAAATCAAGGTAAATGCTCTATGACAATATAATAGAAATATTTTATATGACATAAATAAAATTAAACATGTTTGTACTTGATAAAATACTATGATTCCCCATAAATATCATATATGTACACACATGCATGTATGTATATTGGAAGAACATATGTTAAGATATTAACAATGGTTGTCCTACTGGTGGTAAAATTATAAATGTATTTTTCACTTTATAGATTAGCTCCTGAAACATGCTTCATGTTTGTAAGTAGAAAAACATTGTTTAAAAATCAGCAAAAGAAATCACTCATCATTTATTCAACATTATTGAGGTCCTACCCTCAAAGTAATGGAAGCCACAAAAATACATATCTGTAATCACTGTCATATGGAAACTCTGATCACCTGGTTGTTCATGATATTTCTTTGGGTGCCCCACTGTTGAGGAGGTAATATGGTTTAATTAACCTGTGTTTAATAGGTTTAATCAATGCACTGAACAAATTCTAACATTTTGTGACAGTGTAATCTTAACTAGGCATAAACAATAATAGCAACAGGTAACATTTATTGAGTGATCATTAGGTGCCAAACATGGTACTTAGCACTTTACATACATTATCTTGTTTAATCCTCATAATGGCTTCATGAGGAAGACACTATTACTGTGTCCTTTAAAAGATTACTATACTGAAGCTCAGTGAAGCAGAGTAACTTGCATAAGATCACACAGCTGAAGTAATAGGGACGAATTAGAACCCAAGCCTGTCTGATTTCAAAGCTTATGCTGTTATCTGCCACATCATCCTGCCTTCCAGCTGTGGGAACAACTGGAGTGAAGATTTTTATTGGAAGGAACCACCATCCTTTCCTTGATAATCTCTTGAGCCTGTAAGCCCCTAGCAATTTTCATAATAGCAGTTGCTGCCCTATGGCTTGAGCAAAACAAATTTATCAGCATTTTGTCTACCTAATACCTATTCATTTTAAAGGCCTAGATCAAGATTTTCTACTTGAAGTCTTTGGATTTCTCTAATTTCATCCTCCTACTGAGTAATAACAAAAAATAATTAACTTCTTATTTATTTGTGCAGATACAGCATCTTGTACAAACAACATATGTAGCCTAGATATTTATTTAAGCAATTGTTCACATTTTCTATGCATTATCTCCTTTAATCATCCCAAGAAACCCATAAACTATGTATTTCCATTATCTTCCTCTTACAGATAACACCCCCAAATATTAGAGAGTTTGTTATTTACCCAAGGTCACAGAGCCTATAAATGTTGCACCTGGGGTTTTAACTCAGGACAATCGGACTGAAATATTCACACTTTGGCCCCTGCAGTTACTCTGTACTTGTTCATCAAGTTAATTCCTTTATAACTATTCCCCTGTCTTTCTTCACACATTAACTAGTATTCATTTTTCTACTCTCTGTTCAGTCATTACTTCCGTAATTTCTTATCTAGATCAGATCCTCCTTTCATAAGACCTCATAGCACACATATGTTGCAGTTTTAAATTTAATTGTTTGATTAATGTATAGACTCTCAACTCCTTCACTGAGCTGTAAACTCTATGTAAATTAGAATCATGCCTTTCTTAATTCATCAATATATTCTCAATGGCTTTCAGCATGTAGTGACTCAATAAAATGCTAGATGATTGATTAGTTGGTACTGTCCTTTGAACCCAGAGGGAGATGAGAGCTTTGTCACCACATTTAGCACAAAGAGAAGATGGCCTATAAGCCAACCTTTCTAAATGAGCCTTGCCTTAAAGATAGAACTGTAGGATCATTAATCATAGTACTTTTGCCTTACATGTGGAAAGAATCTCTTCCTGGGATGCATTTCCTTACATTGTGCTGTGGCCATACTTTTATGGCCTTTGATCTGTTTCTAGGCAAACTCTGCCTTTCTGGGCCTCATTTTCTCTGCTTAGTGCTTCAGGACATTCTTTCTTTCTAAGGCACTGGAAGGAAGTGGGAGCCAGGAGCCCCAGGTTCAGAATTCCAGTATAGGACTGACTCTTGGACTTTTGTCTGCCATGTGCTCATTGGCTCCCACATTGGCCTTATATAGCTTTATGAAGGCGCTGGTTTCCAGATTTTGAGAATGGAAATTTCCTTTAAGCATTCACAAATGACAGTGACCCACTCTAACTTAGAGGTGTTTTATACGTGCTGCCACTGTCCTAGTCTAAATTACCATCATCTCTGCCCTCACACATTCCCTATCTTCCCCTTCCAACTCACTCAGGAGATCTAAACACTCAAATCTGATCATGCTACTCATTCCCTTAGCACTCACCAAGGGCAGACTTTACTTTTACTTTGGGTTTAAATCCACACTCCTAATACAGCCTCTGAAGTTCATGTGACTTTGCTGCTATTTTTTCTCTCTAGACTCACCTCTCCACTCCCTTGACCCTCCAGGATTTAGTGAGTTTTCTCAGTTATTACGTATACTCCTTGCTTGATCAGAGCTCTTGCATAAAGTCTTCACTGCCTGGGAAGATCATTTTCTTTACCCCTACTTTTCTTTGTCTAGCTAACTCTTAGTTGTCACTTCCTCAAGGAAGCCTTCCCTGACTATTAATATAGGTCAGGCCACATGTAACATTTTCCTATTGTGCCTAAAGTTTCACATAGCACAGATAGCACTTGGAATTATTTGTTAAATCTACCTTCCCTGCCAGATGTACATTTCCACAAGAGTGGGTGGGGACCATGCCTTTCTCATTCATGCATCATAAGTCTTCAACAAATGTTGGCTGCTATCATCATCATCCAAACACACCATGCTTGGCACATTAGAAATGCTTGGTAGATATAGGGATAATCAGTGAATCATCATTATTAACTTGAAATTCTCTTAGATTTGATGCATTGTGAATTTCATACTTTCATCACGTCTCACGCTACCTTTCCCTTAAAATTAATGTTTTTCTTTAATTGTCACTTTAATTCTTTCAAAATGATATCTTTTTTATTTCTGCATGTGACATTCTAAAAATGTAATGGGCTAACTCAGCAGTCACAGAATAATAGAATCAGAAAGAGATCTTATGTAACCCAGTGGGTCAGCATAATTCACCCTGTGATAACTCAAACACCAGGGATGTCAGAAAGCCTGCATCAAGGAGGGAGGACGGAAGTATACAAAGAGCTAAAGGACTTAAGCTGTGTTACAACCACCACCAGGAAATCCCAGGGAGAAAAGCATTTCTTTAAAGTTGCTGCTAAATACTTCCACCAGCCTTCCAATTCTGTTTATGTTTGTAGCAACCTCTCCAGGCCTTGGGGAAATATCTAAGGTTAAACACCATCTATTTGTAAGTGAATTTGTTCAGTATTAATGGAATACTGAACTATACCTAGAGCACATGGAGAATAATCAAACAGACATTTCCCAGAAAGCAGAGAAGTGGCTCAAAATAAGTGCAAGCAAATTCAGGAAATAAACTTCTGTGTCCAAGGTAGATATGATGGTACTTCAGATTAAAAGCAATTCCAGTGCTGTGTATGTTCATTTAAGATCTACATTTGTACCTATCTGTTATTGGT